ATTAATAAAAATACTATATATTTTAAAACCATTCCTCAAACTAAAATACCAGCGTCCCAATCTTCATAGTGAATGAGGAAAACAAAACAACAACAGCTCCTCTTTACCCTGAGAGGCTGTAAAATTATTCTGACTTCCAAAAATTTAGCTTGTATATAAAGAAATAAATCAGCTTGGTATTGGTAATATCTGATTATGCCAAATAATTATATAGGCAGAAAATGCTTTAGTAATTTAGGAGTGCTGGTCTATATTATCTCAAAAATAATAGTATTTCTAGATTTTTATGTAAAATGAAATTTTGGAGCCATCTGTAAATTCACGAGTGGGAAACAAAGGCAGAGGATACTGAACCACACCTGAGAACTGAATTTCAACAGTCCACGTTTAGGAGAAAGACTGAACACATTTGTTGAAATATTCAGGGGTATAAATGGCAGGCTGTTGTGGAAAGGAATGGATTATGCCAGGAATACATAGCATATTCAGAATAAGCAATGGCCAACACAGAAGACAGACTGGATGAAGCGGAGATTCATGTGAGGTGCCACACAGCAGAGGTCGAAGAAGTTAAGTCTGAGCAACAGGTTGGGTCCAAGGTTTAGAAAAGCTTAACTACCCATCTGAAGAGGTTGGACTTTGTTCTGCAGGGCATGTAAAACTATTTGGGGCTTTGGAAGAGGTTTTTGTTGTTGTTTTGTTTTTGAAGTTCTGGAGAAAGAACCTAGTGTCCTAGGCGAGTACTGTTCTACAGCTGTGTCTCCAGCTCTTGTTTTTCTTTCTCCTCTTTCTCTTCTTATTTCTTCTTTGGCAGGCTGGCCTTGAACTTATGTTCTTGTTCCCATCCTTTGTGTGTCAGGGGGACTATTAGGCATTGTCTTCCAGACTGAACATGAAATTGTTGAGACTTTAACTTTGTGGCCATGCTTAGTATAAACTAGGAAAAGAAGAAAAGGGAACAAAAAAAGAGTTGGTATCTGGTTTGGTGTTAGGGAGTTATAAATGAATGCAATTCAGTACTCAGGTTTCCATTATCAAAGTTAGTTGTCATGATAGGTAAAATACTACCAGTTTTCTTTCTTCTCTTCTCTTTTTTTCTTTTTTCTTTTTCTAGTTTGTTTTTGTTTTTGTTTTTGTTGTTTTGGTTTTGTTTTTGTTTTTTGGCTTTTTTTCCCCCTTTTTGAAACAGGGTTTCTCTGTGTAGGCTTGGCTGTCCTGGACTCAATTTGTAGACCAGGCTGGTCTCAAACTCACAGACATCTGCCTGCCTCTACCTTCCAGAGTGCTGGGATTACAGGCGTGCAAAAACAAACAAACAAAAACCAAAAAACCTCCCAAAATCATGTTTCTGTTTCTTAATATGTAGTAGGACCCTGGTCCAATGGTACTTACAATATAACATTTTGTGTTTATAGTGTTTGTATTTTAAAATATATTTTGAATGTTTACTAACAACAGATTATGTCTGTAGCTGAAACCTTGCCTTTTGTACTTCTGTACGTATTCCCAATTCCTTGTAGATTTCATTTATTTTGCTGATTCTTAGTTTACTTTTGTTTTTGTTTGAAAACAAAAAAAAAACAATTCTCTGCAATGACTAGTTTAACCTGCAGATGGTGATAGAACGTAGGGGAAACGTCTTCAGTATCCATTAGCCCGTTATAACAGAATGTTATTGTCTTATTATGTATTTTTTTTGGTGCAACACAAAAAATAAATAAAAAGTATGTGATAAGCTAAAATAATAAAATCCCTTAAGAATTCATTTTTTTAAAAATTGAATTACTATGTCAAGAACTCCCATTCTTTCCTACAAAATCACTCATCTTTGCAAACATAAATACTATCCCCGATTGATTATTATCGTTATTTCACTTTCTACATAAAACTATGTACATTTATGAATAAATGTTGTTTTATTTTCAAATTTGATATAAATAGTATACTTATATGATTTGCTTTGTTCATGAACATTATCTTTCTGAGATTTATCTATTAATATAAATAAATGCAAAGCCTACGTAGAATTTAAAAGTAATTATGAAATATACTAAAAAACTACATTACATTTTAAATTACTTTAGTGGATAACATAACGAAAGATGATATTGGCCACACCAAACAAGATACTAAATGAAGACCTCTGACCTAGTTCTTATGCTTTAGTTCAGTTTAGACAGTTACTTCTGATTTCATCTAATTCCAAGTTTCTTAATTATGTCACTATCAACATTTTGCATTTAATGATTCTTGAGGTTGTTTTTTATTTGTATTTTTTTGTTTGTTTGGAACATGTGTATGCATTCAGGTCAGAGGGCAACTCTTAGGGTTTTTTTTTTTTTTTTTTTTTTTCTTTCACTATGTGGCTTCTAAGGATAAACTTGGCTTTTTAGGCTGGAAGCAAGGCTTTTATAGACTGAGCTGTCTTGCTGGCCTGATTGTGTGTGTGTGTGTGTGTGTGTGTGTTTTGTGTATGTGTTGTGCTTTTGTTTTAGGGTGGGTATGGCTATTCTGTATATCGCAGCATACTTCACAGCACCCTTTGGCCTCTACTCACAGGGTACCTAGGACAGCTACCTTCCCAGTGATGGAAACCAAAGGTTCTTCTGACTTTGATTACCAAGTATCCCCTAGATCAGAGAAATAGATAAGAAAATCACTCCTAGCTCAAAAGCACTGATCTCGTCTCTGCAAAGAAAAGAAAAATCGTATTATGATTTGCTTGTGTATCTCTTTCTATGGAAAAAAACTCTGTCAGCATAAATAATTGAACCAATTGTATGACTATATTGACTAATTAGATCTGATCCACATGCATAATTAATGTTGTCTCGAGACCTCTGAAACCCTTCTCTGTTTCCCTTCTATCAGATTACCATGGCATCTCTCCTTACTGCCCGGTTCAGATTCTTCATCACCAGAGTCAGAGGAATCTAACTGCTGTTCTCAAAATGAAATATTAATATTAATACCAGTTGAGTTACCTACTTATTCATAACCAATTTGTGCCGATTTCTCTAAAAAAAAATCACTCATTCCATAATTATAATCCTTGTGATTCTAATTCTAGCCATGTTTGTATTTTGTCCACCTTTCTCTAGCTTTGCTTCTATGGAGTTGTAACTCCCATGCATTTTTTTATATTTCCCTTGTGTGTCTTCTTGGGGGGAGGGGTTATATGACTTTATTCATCCTATTTATTAGTTGCAATCATATGTGGAATGTGCACTTCTTAGGGTCAAATTATAGGGACACAAGTAACAGTAAACAAAAGACTACATGGGGGTAAGTCCATTTCTAGTCTCTAATCATCCCTACAGCATGAAAGTGTGTGTTATAACTAAATGTAGCTTTTAAAAAAGATTTTATTTATTTAGTTGGTGTATGAGAGCATACTAGAGATTCCAGTATAGATGATTGTGAGCCACCATGTGGTTGCTGGGAATTGAACTCAGGACCTCTGGAAGAGCAGACAGTGCTCTTATCCCCTGAGCCATCTCTCCCCCTTAAATGTATATTTTTAGTTAAATAGATTAGGTAACGTGATGAGAAAACTAAGAATATGAGAATAGAGGTGATAGTGTGTCTCCTAAGAAAAAGTGTTAATGACATGAAAGTGAACCCTCTGTTTCTTACTCTTAAAACCATGTTGTTGAAAACAAAACTGTAGGGAGGGGGAAAGGACTCAGATTTGCTGTAGTTGTAAGAGAGTAGTTTGGTTTCAAAAAAAATAGTAAATCTGGTCTAGAAAACTATCTTTGTCTAAATAAATGAGATCTGTAGGTTTGGTGTGTGCTTTCAAATAAGTGCCAGCTGGTGGAGAAATGTACAACCTGGAGGGCACTAACTGAGCCATAAAAGAGGCACTACATTACTTAGGAGTAGCTGTGAATGCCACATTTTCTTTTTTCTTTTTTCCATAGAAAGGCTCCCACACTGCATCTCTCTTGCCATGATGAAGTCTAAAGTCACAGAAATGATAACACATGAATAAACACAGATTAAACAGGTAAAAGTTTGGATGCTCTTTCTTTGCCAGAAAAGAACTGAATTTCTAGGGTTAAAAGCTGAGGATGCTGTGATAGGGCAAGCTATCCAAGATGTGTTGCAGGGTGTTACTTTATAAGGATTATTTTGAGATAAAGAAAAGGAATATGAGCTGGGTGTGCTGACACGGGTCTTTAATCCCAACACTCAGGAGACAGACGCAGGTGGATCTCTGTAAATTTGAGGCCAGCCTGGTCTACATGTTGAGTTCCAAGACATCCAGAACTATGTAGTGAGACCCTGTCTCAAAAAATAAGAAAAAAAGGGAATATAAAACCAAAATATTATACAATATGAGTATTAACTTGTATCATGTATTTCCTTAAATATTTTGTTTGTCCCTACTCAAACTAGACAGACTAATGCCTTCCCTCATGAAGAACTGACACACTCAGAAATACCAGAAGTGAAAGATAAAATGTCAGATATTAAGAAAATAAAAAGAGCACAGAGTCGTTCCTAATTCTCACAGTTGGGAGGAGTCAAAGCGACGATGTTGGTGTGAAAGGAACAGAACTTGATGCTTGCCCTTCACCTCTGTAAAAGACAAGGGAAACTCAGTAGCAATGTATGTGGATTGGTGCCTAGGGTCAGGTGACTGTGGCAGGAACTGAGGGGGTAGAGTGGTACAGTACCAACCTCATCCCTCCAAGCCCCAGAAATGTTGTGAAATTCCTAAGTCAAAGAGAAACTCTTAAACTGTCTGAAGTGAATGAGATTAAGCTTGTCCAAGACCATACAAGGGAGCTTTTAAGAAACATGTAAGTTGTAGCTTGGGAAATGTACATGCCTTACTAACACTGCTCAAACCTTATCTACCTGAAGGTTTCCACAGCTTCAAAGTACAAAGCCAAATCCCACTTACTGACACCTTCTAAATTTATTTATTTACTTATTTACATATACAATGTCTACCTGCATATATCTCTGCAGGCCAGAAGGGGGCACCAGATCTCATTATAGATGGTTCTGAGCCACCATGTGGTTGCTGGGAATTGAACTCAGGACCTCTGGAAGAGCAGCCAGCAGAAGTGCTCTTAACCTCAGAGCCATCTTTCCAGCCCCCACCGTCTAAGTCCTTAGAGTCCATGTTTTTCTGTTTTCTCTGGCTTATGTTGACTTCTTGTGATTTTTCTCAAGTGAAGCTTCGTTGTTGCTCATTTGTTTATCCTTCATCTTTTCCAAATTCAAACGGCCTCTTTTTTCATTATTTTCTCAGAATACCATGGACACAAGGCATCTTTGTACAGTAGAATTTCCCTGAAAATGTAGAGCTCAAGGGAGAAAGAAAGGGAAGAAGAGAAAGTGGATGTAAACTTCAGTAAACATCTCCAAAATGAATATTCACTAACCTGTTCACTATCTCTGACTGTGACCCAGAACTGCTGAAGCAGCTGTGTTTCTCAGTGAATTTCATGGAGTCTTCTTCCTTCATACTCTCTTCCGTTTGCCCCTAGTTCATGCCTTCCTATTTCATTCCTTTCTCCCTGGAGTACTAGCAAGAATTTCAAATGTTTAAGTCCTTCTGCACTAACAGAAGATTTTTGTTCTCTTAACTTCACTTGTAGAATTTTCCAGCCAGACCTACTGCAAAAATAAGTGCCATTCTTCTGTCCCCACACCAATCAGTGTGATCCCACCCCTATGTGGAATTCTAAGAAATTATTGTTTTCTCTGAATACTGAAATACATACAGTTTAGAGGAATTTTACTCCCAACTACATGACTGCTCTCGCAAAGAATCTAGCTGGAATGTAGACACATTCTGGGTTACAGTATGTCTGGCTGGAATACAGACACAGCCTTAGTACATATCTTTAATCCCAAACAATGAAGATAAAGTTTGTATATAGAAGGAAGCAGCCATGATTGAAAGTGAGCAGACAAAGTAATGAATCAGAGAAAGATTTGACAGAATGAGACAGGATATGCCCAACTCTCATGAGACCAGGACAGGAAAGAAAGACTACTTAAGAGCAATGCAGGGAGAGATGGTGAAGTTTTTAGGTTTTGTTTTTTCTGTTTGGTTGTTTTGTTTTGTTTTTGTTTTTTCAATCAGGACAGTTTTACAGAGACAGGTTACAGAGAAAATAAGCTAGAAAAAAAGGTGAAGACAGAATGAGCTAGAGAATGAGAAGATTAAAACATATTGCCAGAATTAGTTTGAGGCCAGGCAGGGCAATTCAGTCAGAAGCCAAGAGAAGCCAGTTTGAATCAGTCAGCTTGGAGAGGAGTTTGGGCCAGAACAGCTATGTTAAACCATCCAGCAACAGTTCAGAAAGAGCTAGAAAGGCTTGGGAATGGCTTCTATCTCATGCCATCATCAGAGGAAATAAAAATGACATAAGGCCTTAATAGATCCTGATAAGAGGATATTCATCTCCATCACTCCGACACTGGGTCCCCTAATCCCCAAGAATGAGGCAGAGGATTTCCAATTTGCTTACGAGGTGCAAGTCTTTGGTTCCAGACATAGTGAGAGAGGAATTAATATGTCCACTTTTCTAAATATGTCCCATTTTTGTTGGTGTTGATTATATCAACCACAGCTGATCATTTAAAAAAGTAATCTCTGGCTAGTGTTGTAGTTCAGTCAGTTGAGTGTTTGCCTACCCAGACAAAGCCTGTGTCGGTCTCTAATTAGGTCTGTTATTTATCTAGTGGCTTGCCCCAAAAATCTTATTTTTGCTCTAGATGTCAAGATGATGTCGGTCAGCAAAACAAAACAAAACAGTCTATGTGGACATCACTGTAACTGGGCCTCAATATTTCAGAATCTTTCTTTGCTGATGGCAGACACAAAAAGGATTCTAGAATTTTGAATTATGAAAATTGAGAATTTTCAGTGACTCTACTGAGAAAGTAGGAAAAAACAAAAAGAAAACAAACAAAAACAAAAAAACAACTCAAAACACTTCCATCCTAGAGGAGTCCCTTACTCTGTAACACTCACTCTTGGTTCTGCACATGTGTAGCAGGTAGCCTTTGCTTTTCTTGAGAGTTCTAGTTATTGGTGAAGCCACTCAAGTGCAAACATAACATTTCGAAATGAGAATTTCATTTTGTTTTTGAAACAGCATCAGCTGTGTATCCCTGACTTGTCTGAAACTCGCTATTTCAAGACCAGGGTGGCCTTGAAATCACAGACATCCATCTGTCTTTGCCTCCCCAGTGCTGGGATGAAAGGCTTGCACTACCATGCACAGCCACAAATTTATATATATTTGGTTTTTCTAGACAGGGTTTCTCTGTGTAGTCTTGGCTGTCCTGGACTCAGTTTGTCGACCAGGCTGGCCTCAAACTCAGAGAATTCTGCTCACTTCTGACTTAAAGGCATACACTACCACACAGCCTGGCCACAAACATGTTTTTAAAGAGCAGACACATCATTACTAAGTAGAATTAAAGCATATGTCATATATTCTTTTTTTTGTTTCAACAGCCTTTCTCTGCTCTGCCTCTGTCTATCTGTCTCTCTCTCTCACACATATACATTTATGCACATACATAGACTTTTTTTTTTTTTCTTAAATAGAGATGACCATAAGTCAGTGGTTTTCAGCTAAGGGCTGTCTTGACCCTTACGGGACCACTTGGCAACATCTGGGTTCATTTTGGTTGGCACATCAGGGGAGTGATGTTAAAAGGAGCCAGGAGAGAGGAGCCAGGAGTGCTGTTAAATCCTGCCACACCTAATACGGCCGCCACAGAAGAACCACCGACAAAAAATGGTTTAAGCCACAAATATCAATAATACCAAGATTAAAAATTCTTAATGGACAACTGAGTGCAAACACAAAGCAGGTTGAGACCAGTTTGGGCTTGTTTACTTTTTATTCTTTTTGCATATTCCCTGCCATATGGCAAGTGCAGAAGTTGTTTGGTAATCCTTAATAATAATATCATTATTGTTTTAAAGGCATGTCTTAGAATGTGGTTTCACTGACCATGTGCTCTTTTTTCTTTTCTTTTTTTATCCCCAACAGATATTTTACACAGGAAAGCTGAAATTCTGTTTCATGTGTTAAATGTCAAAAAATAAAATAAAATAAAATAAAATGTGTGTTTGATTAGAATTTAACCTTTATTTGGTGGGGAAAAAATAATGATGTGATTTTATGAGGAGAAAGATGGTGCTGTTCAGAAGCATAACATACACAATTTCAAAATCTTTTATACAGGAAAATTAAAACAAACTGTTTTTTTTAGCTTTTGTAAAAAACAAAAAAAAAAAAAACAAAAAAAAAAACCAGTGGACTGAGAAAAGACATTTAAATTTTTTCCTTTTAGGTAACTAATAAACTCTAAGTTGTGCAATCAGAGAGAAAGCAAAAGTTCAACTAAGTGAGACACTGAAGTCCTAAGTAATCGGTTCATTGTATCTTAACTAGAGTGCTGGAGAGGACATGGGCTTTGTGGAAGAGGAAATTATATTTCTTGGAAACCTGGCAAATGTTTAGTAACATTATTGTTGTTGTTATTTTATTACATTCTTCTTGTTCAGGCAAACAGGGAGAACCAGGCAGATTTTTCCCTTTTTGATGGTAGTTAATCTGGCCATGTAGGCTAAACTGACTACCCTGCAAGCCGCAGGCATCCACCTGCTCTCGCCTCTACAATGCTAGGATGACAGCTGCATGTCACCATGCCTAGATTTTTTTAGTGCACCCCACCTCTTTTATGCTTGGGTTTTGGGGTTCACACTCTGGTGCTTTGTGTTTGTAGGACACGCACACACTTTGTGGCCTGAACCATCTCTTCAGTCCTGGTCTCCCTCTTTATCATGCATGTTTTCATTTATTTTTTTTTTAATCATGTCTTCTTCCTTCCAGTGTTCTTGGTAGCCTTAAAGGAAAATGCTTTCCAGATCAAATTCTCTTAGTTCTAAAATAAGAAGGGCAAAGGGTGAGCAGTGTATAAATGAAGAGGGTAGAAACTGCAGCTGAGTGAGGGAGGAGTCTTATTTTCTGTCATAACTGTGATCTTCAATTTTTTGTGGCTATATTGAACCTTATTCTGAAAAGCATTGGGATTAAAGCCATGAGACATTGGGCCCAGCTACCACTTGTAATCTTTTGTCTCATATATCATTTGTAAAACACAAATGGTATTGCCAGTTTATCTTTTTGTTTCATTATCTTAATTTTTGTGGATTTTGGAGAGAAAGCAGAGATAAAGTGTGGAGTTAATTTCTCAGATTTATTAGGAGGGTTTTGACAACAATTTAATTTCAGCTAAGGGAAGAAATATATTTCTTGTAAGGTGAAAATTTTTGTTTCTGGTATGTGACCTTTTAATGAGCTCTTATTACATAAAAGTAAAGCACAGATTATATTCTGAAACAGAAACCTTGTGGAAATAAAACAGCAATATTTCTCTGCATAACTCTGAAGTGTTTTACCTTTACTATGCTGATAATGATGTTACCAGGTTTTATTTTCATCTTAGCTGGGGAGATAGAAGTTTTGCCCCTTTTTATGAGGCAAGAAAAAAAGTAAGGATAAAGCATGTTCAAAAACATCTCAATGAGAGATTTGATCTCTTGTAACCTCAGCACTTGGAAAGTAAAGGCAAGAGGATGGGGTGGGATTCAAGGCCAGCCCAGGTTACCTGAGACCTTGTCTCAAAACAGAACAAAGCTTCCACCTGATGCACCAGCAACACATTTAAGGGATCAGGGCAGCTCCCTAGCTCCCAGAGTGGGCCAGGAGCCCAGCAAGCAATTAGGATTTCAGACAATAATATAGGGGTTTCAGCTGAGGATTACAGCTCTGTCATTGTCTGCAAAGAGCACCGGGGGGGCAGTGAAAGGGTCATCCACAGGGCTCTGTATTCAAGGCTTTTACCTTGATCACTTACACGCACAATTTATCATTGTTCTTTCGTTACCTATGAAAATCTGTGATATGTGTGTGCGTGTGTGTGTGTGTGTGTGTACATATATCTTATAAGGTGAGTGTGCTGGCTTGTTTTAGGTCAACTTGACACCAGCTCTAGTCACCTGAAAGGAGGCAACCTTGGCTAAGAAAACACCTCCATGAGGTTGTGTTGTGGGCAAACCTTTAGAACATTTTCTTAACTAGCAATTGGTTGGGGAGGGCACGGTCCATTGTGGGTGGAGCCATCCCTAGACTGGTAGTCCCCGGTTCTATAAGAAAGCAGGCTGAGAAAGCCATGAGAAGCAAGCCAGTAAGCAGCACCCATCCATGACCTCTGCATCAGTTCCTGTCTCCAGTCTGAATTCTTGTCCTAACTTCTTTCAGTGAACAGCAATGTCAAAGTGTAAGTCAAATGGCCCTTTTCCTTCCTACCTTGCTTTTGGTCATGCTGTTTCATCATAGCAATAGTAACCCTAAAACAGTGAGGTAGGTTTTTGTTATTGTCGTTATGTAAATAGTAACAATTAGGCAATACATGAATAAGAGAAGTGGGTCTTATGTGTGATTTGGTTCAATCACTTAATTTTATAGATGAGAGAGTTGATGTCCAATGAGATAAAATGCTGAAGTGAGCAATGATGGATCCTCCTAAACAATGCAGATATCAGTCTTCAGTAAAATGTAGCAATGATCCCTTAACTGTACAGCTCGTATTTATGATAGCTAGGATGGAACCAGCCTATATGTCTAGCAACAGATGAGCTAACAAAGAAACCACACACACACACACAAACACACACACACACACACACACACACACACACACACGCTTTATTCAAGAGTTAAGAAGAACAAAATTATACAAGTTGCAGGGAAATGGATAGGTTCAGAGAGCATGATGTTAAGCAAAACAGGCCAGACTCAAAATATCAAATATTGCAAGTTCCTACTCACATAAGGAATCTCTATTTGAAACTACACACACCAGTCATAAAGGCATAAAGAGGACTACATGGTGAAGGGACTAATAAGGAAGAGGGAACGAGAGTAATGGAGGTGGGAAACAAAAAACAAATATTACTTCTTTTTTCTTCTCACACACAGACTCTAGTTTTTGATACACACACATGACATGAAAGCAGGAGAGAAAGAAGGGGCCAGCAGGAAGTGTAAGGGGAGTAGGGAAGGTAATGGGGGCTATATATGAGCAAAATACAATGAAAATATCATAGTGAAACTCATTATGTGCTGTGCTAAACAAATCAGTAGAATTTTAAAGAGAGAACTGTATTCTCAGAAAATACACTAAGAGAGAGAAGATCGGTTACCTGGGTCTACTTGATGCGGCTGAGAGCCGACCTGCCACTGCTGTACTTTCAATCAGCAGAAGATGGACAGACGAAGAGGAAACCTTCACAATGGGCTTTGCTCAAATATCACATTCCAGGTAGGCATCCGATCCAGCAGGAACAATGCAGAGTTGAGCAGGTTCAGATGACAACTGCCCTGTGTCTGATGTATAAAACCAAGAGTTCTCTAGGTGAAGTCTCCAGAAAAGAGAAGGAAAGTATTTATTTGCCACTGTTTAGCTGACCCATCCTAGAGTCAGAGAATGGTGATCTTGAAGGAGTTGTACCTTCTGCCCAGTGAAAGTGTTCTTGGACCAGAGAAAAACAGTGAGTCCGACCATTTCTTAAAAAGAAAGTCCCCAAGCCAGGCATGGAGGCATACACCTCTAATCCTAGCAATTGGGGAGGCAGAGGCAGAGGCAGGCAGATCTCTGTGAGTTCAAACCCAGCCTGTTCTACAAAGAGAGTCCAGGACAGCCAAGGCTACACAGAGAAACCCTGTCTCAAAATAAGAAAGAAAGAGAAAGAAAGGAAGGAAGGAAGGGAAAGAAAGAAAGAGAAAAAGAAAGAAAGAGAAAAAGGAAGAAAGAGAAAAAGAAAGAAAGGAAGGCAAGATAGACCTGGAGGGGATAGGAACTCCACAAGGAGAGCAACAGAAACAAAAAAATCTGGGCCCAGGGGTCTTTTCTGAGACTCCAAGAACCATTCATGGAGATAACCTAGAACCCCTGCGCAGATGTAGCCCATGGCAGCTCAATATCCAAGTGAGTTCCCTAGTAATGAGAACAGGACTGTTTCTGACATGAACTCAGTGGCTGGCTCTCTGATCACCTACCCCTGAGGGAGGAGTAGCCTTGCCAGGCCAGAGGAAGATAATGCAGCCAGTCCTGATGAGACCTGATAGGCTAGGGTCAGATGGAAAGGGAGCAGGACCTCCCCTATCAGTGGACTTGGAGAGGGGCATGGAAGGAGATGGTGAGTGTGATTGGGAGGGAATATGGGAGGGGCCTACAGCTGGGATACAAAGTAAATAAACTGTGATTCATATAAAAAATTAAAATTTTTAAAAATCCTCTAAAAATATTATATACTTTATAAGGAGAAAGAAAGAGAGAGAGAGAAAGAAAGAAAGAAAGAAAGAAAGAAAGAAAGAAAGAAAGAAAGTCCCCTAAATTATACAATGTCCTCTGTTCCTTAAGTCTCCTTGTTTGGTTTTTAATTCAGAGTCACAACCCACAATTAGCCGGTTTTCTACGTAAACTACCTCAACAAGTTACAAGGCAATGTCTCTTTTTTCTATATTAATATATTAGGTTTCTTATTTCATACAGTCCTTGAGAAAGGAAGTATTGAGTTAGTGTTGGGGGTTGGTCTGCTGTTGCTGTGTATTCAAATGCTAAATACTGGCCTCCAAGGTCTGGCTGCAGTCCAGAAGAGTACATTCTCACGTACCCTGAATGACGTTGTGTAAACTTTGCTACCCAATATTCTCTGGTTGGTTAAATAAAGTTGCTAACAGCCAACTACTGGAGCTTCGGTTCCTGGGCTTCAGGTGTCTCAGGTGGAGATCATGAGGCTGGGAGACAGAGTGAGTTGGGGCAGAGGAAGGGGAGGAGGAGAAGAAGAGGACATGGCATGATGGAGCAGATCCAGCCAAGATAAGATGACTTATTGGCAAGTAACTTTTAGAGAATGCGCCTGGGAAGTGGCCAGACTAGCTTAGTAAATTAATTTAAATTGCACCTGCCCAGTTATTGTCCTAAGGCTTGTTTAAGTAAATTAATAAGTCTTACCAGGCGTGGTGGTGCAGGCCTGTAATCCCAGCATTTGAGGAGGCAGAAGCAGCCAGATCTCTGTGAGTTTGAGGCCAGCCTGGTCTACAAAGAGTCGAGGACAGCCAAGGCTACAAATAGAAACCCTGTCTTGCAAAACAAACAAACAAAAAATTAATAGGTCTCTGTCTCAATTATTGGGGGTAGGGGGGCTAGTCAGGTTAGTTGAGCCTTCAAGAGTTAAATAAATATTCAACAACACATTAGTGCAGAGACTTTTTAAGGGAGCCATATAAACCCAGCTTCTACGAGATGTGAACTTCAATGATCTCACAGTTTTGTTCACTGAAGCTTGTTTTAAAACCCATGCATTGGGAGCTAGGCATAGCAGTGAAAGCCTTTAATCTCAGCACTTGAGAGATATAGACAGTGGATTTCTCTGAGTTGGAGGCCAGCCTAGTCTACATAGTTCTAGGACACCCAGAGTTACATAGTTAAGAAAGACCCTGTCTCAAAAATAAACAAAGCAACAACAGCAAAAACATTCATTGGCAGAGCTGGAGTTGCTCATCGGATGACAGCACCTGATGCTCTTCCAGAAGACCCAGGTTTGATTCCCAGGAATGGTCACCCGCAAGCTTCTGTAAGTCAAGTCCCTGGGATTCCAACACCACCTTCTAGTGCCTCTGCGGGCACTAGGCACCTATGATGCACAAACCTACAGTCAGACAGAACACCCACACATAAAATAAATAGCAAAACAAAAAGCCATTGGGCACTGGGCCTGAAGAAACAGCTCAGTTGATAGAGTGCTCATTACAGGAATGCAGTAAGTGTGGTATTGATTGCCTGTAATCCCAGACACTGGGATGTGGAGAAACTACAGTTCCAGGTCAGCCTGACATGAGAACCTATCTATATACAAATACTCTTGCCTTGAAGTATGCATTCCAATCTTTCTGTTTCTGGTTCATTGCTTTAACACTGGGACCAACCTGCTCCTCTTATTTTGTTGTTTGTGTGTTTGTTCATTTGTTTGTTGTGTTTTTGTTTTTGCTTTCTTACACTTCTTTTAGCCAGTGATTTCGGGTCTGATTCTCATTTCCAAGGTTTTATACAACCATGCAAACATCACAGTTTTAACTTTATAAAAATCTTTTGAGGAGAGGTGGGGAATGTCTTCTGCCATGCTAGATACGTGCTTCATAGCCTTAATAATTTAGTTATATTACCAACTTCCTCCCTGCCTGTCCTTTCTCTTCCTCTATCCCTGATGCCCCCCTTCCAATATATAAGGAGAAAGTAGCCTGTGCCAGCCTAGAACCTGCACTCTTCCTGCCTCAGACTCCTGAGTGCTGACAATACAGGCTTGTGCCATCACACCAAGTGTTTCTGACCTTCCTGTATGACAGTTCTTCCACACTGTTTGACCCTAATCCCCCAAAAATCAAAATCCTAGATATTGTAGTTTGGGCATGTCTCCACAGGACCTTGGCCCTAACTTTTGTCCTTACTGTCTGGTTAGGTTTTCCTGGTTTCTTTCAGGACAATGATTTGAACACAAAAAGTCCTTGATTAACAGTATCACCCCCCTCTTCCATAGTGAGGATCACAAATTCAGAGCCAGATTGCCTTTGTACTCTGGCTCCACTTCTTGCTAGCTGTGTGACCTTGGGCAAGTCACTTAAACTTCTGTGCCTTGTTTCCTCACTTGTGAGAGGGAACAGTTGATAGCCTAGGAGGATGTTGAGGCTAAGTTAGTGCAGTTAACTGCTATGGCAGGGGGTATTGAGCTCACTAGTAAAGCCAGCTCTCGGTATGTGCGAGGCCACGGGTATGATCCTAAGCATCAGTAAAAGGCAAAGGAATAACTGTTCTTGCTACACTTGGCACAGAGAGCATGAGGCGAATGTGGCAGTTCCTGCTAATGTCACTACTGTCCCTCTTGCAGACCTCCCGTGACTGTAGCACTTATCAAGTTTTGTTGTTTTTTTTTTTTTAAATGTGGAGAAAGCAATAAAGATACAAGAAAAAAAAGTGCAAAATATTCTGCTTCCCCACAGTGGCTATTATCACATTAACTTTAAAACTCCATGCTTTCCCTTTAATGTCAGCAGCTTGGAAATGCCATGATTTTATTTCCCTAAACCTGCAGATCATGTTGGTCTAAATGACATTCTTTTCTTTCTTTCTTTCTTTCTTTCTTTCTTTCTTTCTTTCTTTCTTTCTTTCT